ACTGATCCCCCGGCATGCTCGGCAATATATCAAAAAGAACGAATATATTTGTCCGGTCATATCGGAACATCAGGAGATGAATCAAAAGGCGGCATGCTCGGTATGCCACATGAGAGAAAATGAATATAAATCTCCGCTCGCCTCGGAGCATCAGGGGAAGCCCGATTTCCACGGAATCATGGTGCAGGGTGATTTGTTTTGGAAAAACATACCTGAAATAAATATTATAGAAAATGGCTCATTGCTCTAGCAGTATGGCACTACAGGGAGATCATTTAACTCATTCCTTGGGGAAGATTCCTACCCTACAATTGGACGCCACGACATTATGGCATGCTGAATGATTTCTCAGAGAAACATATCGGCATCAATATTCAAGAAATATTAAAAATCACTCTTCGTACCCATACAAAATCAAGAAAGCCTCGTCCCTACTCACTGCCTTCCCCTCCGTCTTTCTCCTCGCCGTTGCCCTTCATCCCGCCGTTGTATCGCGTCGCCATCAAATCTCTGTTGCATCAAATCTCCGTTGCATCAAATCAAACCGTCGTTCCCTCCTCCTCCCCTGCTGCTCGTACGCTGTAACGACTCGGTGAGCCCTTGCCTTTCCCTACAGCCGCTGACACTTACCATATCCGCTCCAGCACCCAATTCACGTCCTCCAGCGCCTCGTTCCCCCCCGCCATCCCGCCCCCGTCCTCCTTCAATGCATCATACCACCAACGCAAGCAAATCAAGATATTGAGCATCCCATTGGGTCCTGTCGACGCAACCGAACTCCAGTCCCCTTCCCCATCCTTCCCGAGCTGTGTTGCGACTTCACCCGTTCGTGTACGCCACTTAGGGTTAATCTCGATGAAAGGGTGGCTCAGTGTCTATGGCTGAGAAGACAGATGCTCTGAGGATCGACGGGACTGAATGCAAGCTTCTAAGTGATGCAGAAACAACACTAAAAACCCACAACAACCAACCAAAACCCTACAAACTCTACTCTCTGTACTAGCGATAGATCCCTCTGACGAGGTCGGGTTGTATTGAACACTGAAAAGGTTCAAGGGAGCTGCAAGTTAAGTATATCTTTGCCGGAAGTGCACTCTTGGTCCGATTGTCTTGAGACAACCGCAAAAAGGGTGCTTGTGTGTGTACGTGGAGAACAAGTGTTCCTTAGGATAAAGATCCCAAAGACGCGCTAATTCAATGTAATAGATTTAAGTTTCCCAACTATAACAATGTAACGACTCGTGGCCGATGGTGTGTGTTTTGCCGAAAGTGCCGTGTTCTGAGGTGCCGTGTTCTGAGGTGCCGTGTTCGAAAGTACCGTGTTCTACAAGTGCATGTCGTGTTCTAGTACCGTGTTCTCAAGTGCGTGCCGTGTTCTGAGGTGCCGTGTTCTCAAATCCTGAAGTAGTATCCAAAACCGAAACTTGTAAATTCAAACACTAACTCCAATCCTGAAGTAGGTGACAAGTCCCAAATCCCACCAACGTAGAGCCTATCTCTGTGATAGACGCCTACTAGCTAGGGTGTTATTCAGTGCCGTACATGCTAGAACCGTCCCCCTTATATACTCTTCTATTATAGCTTACACTACGTTGATTACTTGACCTCGGGTATCCTAGGAAGGTATGTAGTCAAATATCTGGTATCACATGTCGTATAATTGTATTGGTTTCGGGCATTAACGGAGCCTCTTGACGGCTGACTGCCCCCTAGTTGCGAATTAATCCCCTTAACAATTGATTCTCCTCTGAAGGCTGACTGAGCAGCACTTCCGACAAGCCTCAAGTGTACTTCGTTCTCCCTCGAGCATTGTCTTCAGATTCGACTTGTGGCTGTCTCCAGCTTTCCGTAGACACCCCGTTCTCCGTATATGGGTTCCTAGTTCTTGGTCTGATGTGAGTCCAACTTCGGACTTTTGATCTTCCGGCATGTGTGACCGCGGATCGGCAAGTCGGCAATTCCCGACTTGCGGCAAACCCGGCTCCGACTTGTTCGTCCGAAAGTCCCGAGCGTCACGTGATCATACGCGTCGCGCACTTCTGTCATAACAATGGACAACAGCCGTAAGTGTTACTTGTGTTGCCGCAAGTACTACTCGGTGTTCCTCGGTCAATCCTGAAGTCCCCAGAGTGGATATTCCTTAAGTCCTTTGATACATGGCTCATTGCAAAGGACGCGTTCCTGTCTTTGAAGTACTAGCGGATCCTGAAGTGCTGTTTGAACGACTTGCGGCAGTATGTACTTTCTGCTCCCATAGTCCAGCCGGTTCCCAATTAACCATTGCAAATCTAGTGCCAGCGCTACGCAACAGGACTTGCTGCTAGCGGCTCGATGCGCGTGTGTGCGAAGCCAGAAGTAGTGAAAAAGTGAGTTTTCACTGGCGTTCATTTTCACGGCTTATCATCGATCCACCACGCCCACCACTTCGACGCGAACAAATATACATCCACAATCGCGGGGACCGGTCCCCCGGATCGCGCGCGGCTTATCCAGCCTGAAACTTCCTTGGGACGCAGCGCTGTTCCCTTACCCTTGACCTACACAAGTAAAGGTTAGTACTCATTCCATTATGTACCCAGCCTTCGCGCTCACCGGCCCTGCGAAGCTCGCGGCCTTCTCGTACCTCCACCACAGCTCCATGGTGTTCACCCACACGTCCCCGCCGCCGCCTGCCAGCAACGTGATGTGCGCGTCCGTTGCCCACTTTGGCACGTTGTCGTCCCCCACGGCGGTCTGGCACCCCCTCCCCGCCTTTTTCGCCTTGCCTTTTGCTCCGCCGCCTCGACTGCGTCCACCCCCTCGCGCCCCTCTCAGAGTCGGTGTTCCCCCGCGCTCGCCGTCGTTGTCATCAGACGCACCGTCCGAGCCGCCAACGTACTCGTCCTCACCTTCGACCCCATCCGCCCTTGGTCGTTTACTTTTTCCGCCCCCTTCCTCCTCCAGCTTGCGCTTCGTTCCATTGCGCAGCTCCTCCATCAGCGTCGCCACTTCGCCCTCCAGCTGGTAGCTGGCCAGGCCCTCTTTGTTGCGCGCCATATTCGTCTCCCACGTGAACTCCCAACTCGACAACCTCCCCAAACGATTAATCCGCAGCGCACGCGACCCCGGCGAAAGCGCCATCACCTGCCTTTGCAGCGGACTCGCATACCCCAGCCCCTCCAACTCTGCCGGCGTCTTCTCCCGGTCGTCGACGTCCATCGCCTTCTCCCCTGCGCCCTTGTCCGTCCCATCGCCCCCCGCGTCGTTCTCTGTTCTGGTACTTCCCTCCGGCGCCGACACATTCGATCCTCCTCCTTCGGACGTATTCAGCAAGTTGGGTGTAGGCGTGGGGGAGAACGACCGCAGAGGGGGCAGTGGGGGCGGTCCATTCGCACACGCCACAGATCCGCTGGGCAATTCATCGCGAGGAGGGGGCGGTGGCATCGGCAGTGGGTGGGACGACGGTGGAGGTGGGGCAAGGGGGGCCACGGGGGGGTTCGTCGTTGCTGGCGTCGACGAGGACGCTGTGATGCGGACTGCGGTTCTGTGAACTGCCTGACCTGGGTGGGTAAAGTCAAGTAGTGTTTTACAGAATTTAATTCGTCCTCTAGGGGGAAATTGCTCTGTCGCGGAGCTGCGTAGTTTAAGGTACGCTAATGCGCGATATATAATTTGTGGTGTGTGTGTGTGTGTACAGTTCTCTCCGTTTTGGATTGAACACTTGCCAGGTTCCTCGAAGATTTAGTTCTTCGTTGGGGGCTGGCCTTCCGAAGGTACCGCGGATGGATAGTTTTCTACACTTACTCGAAGGGTACGCTCCGCAATGCGAATGCTGTTCCGTTCCGGAGTACTCGGGTTATCTGTTATGCTTTATCCACCTGTCTCGAACGTATCGGACGGCAGGTCTCTTCAGTACAGTGCAACACTATACGGACGGCTATAGTGTTTCCCTTCGTAGCCTGGTTTCTCCGCTGGTGAACGCCTTGAAACGGAATCACTTCCGTTTCGAAGACTCGGGGGTGAAGTGTGCGAATTGAATGGGGGAAATGGTATGATCGTGTAGGATTGGCCTTCCGTGTACGATGGGGTGGGTTCCTCGCAAGGATATGCGTTCGAACTCCGAAAAAGAACGGTTGCACAAAGCCAAGTTAGGTGACTGGCCGTTTGGTGGTGTGCCGCGTAGTCTACTACCGCGCGCTTTCAACTCCGGATTGACTATATTCCCCCCGTATTGATTTATCGAAACGGAGGCGAGACGGACAGGGTTTCTTGACAAGCCCTGGCCTTTTTCGGTGACCTTGGTTTGTCCTACTATTGGGCGGCACGACCCGTAGCGGAGTGTATTTTAATTTAGTTCCCCACCCCGGTGTACTTCAGGGGAGTAGCTTTAGGTATATGCAGTGGGAGGTAATAAGATGATCATTCCGTGTCATACAGCTGGCTTTTATACGATACTCCGTCCGATACTCGCGCGTGCACTTATACCTTTAATTGGAAACGGACGTCCCTCCTTTTCAGTTCTGACTCGCCTCTGTGATCCCCCACGCGTTCCCGATTCCGAAGGGGTTAGAAATTGACTCGGAGCGGCCTCGTGTCACCTCCGTTTCCCGTTTCAGTCGCCCCGTTTCCCAAGAACCACCCGAGTTCTCCGTTTAGTCGCTCCATTTCTCATACCGCAACCACTCCTTCTCCGTTTGCTCCCCCATAACCTTCTCCCTAGCACCGGTCAGATAGCGCAACGGTAGCGCGCGCGCCGTATATGTTGACCAATGTATGCTCGCGAGGTCTTCGTTCGATTCGAAGTCTGGCCATGATACACCATCAAGGAAACCTTTGCCTCCGTTTCATTTTTGAGTGAAGGCGCGTCGAGTTTTGAGTAAACGCTCATTGAACGGCCAGGTAGCGCTGGAGAGAATCAATATTTTCCTCCTCGATCCTTGCTTGTAGGTTCCCGTTTGATTCGGAGTCTGTTGTTCATATAATTCTCTCGTCTCTTTGTCCGTTTGTCGAGTCCTAATCACGGCCTGGTGGCGGAATGGTAACGCGTGCAAGACAAATACCGACTCCCACAACGTTTCCTCGCAAGGTCTCCGTTCGATTCGGAGTCTGGCCCTCCTTTTTTAATCAGGACCTGTCTCGTTCTTTCGTCCGTTTGTCGATGCTCTTTTGTCCTAATCACGGCCAGGTGGCAGAATGGTAACGCATGCGGGACTCATACAGCCCGCTCAATAATGTTTCCTCGCAAGGTCTCCGTTCGATTCGGGGTCTGGCCTTTTTATTTGGAGGCGCGATTTCTTGTATACGGAGTCGTCGTCGTGAGTATGATTTTCCTCCCGTTTGGCCGCGTTCGGAGCGCATCACAAAGTGACAGCTCACAACGCGTCCTCGGGTGCTGTAGATGGTGGCCTGCCTTCACCTTCAGCGGCCTGGGGCATGCCGTTCGAGGCCGCGATATAGCGCATGAACTGCTTTACGATCGGCTTATACCCCTGTGGGTCCCAATGCGTGAAGTCGACGCCTTCAGGACCATCCTCACTTTCCCCATCTACCGTTCCCCCATGGACCGATCTCACCTCCACCTTCCCGTCTATGACACCACCGACGAGCATCGTAACTTGGTACCCCGTGAGCTTGCGGATGGAGAGCAACAGCGGCTTGGCCACCGCGATGAGGCGAGCCCGCGCCTCCTTGCGCGCCTCTTCATCGAAATCCTCCATCTTCGCCCCGCCGGCCTCGTTCTTCTCGTACTCCGCCAGCGCCTCCTCATACTCCTCCTCCCCCTTCGCTTGAAATTCATCTTGAACTTCGTCCGACTCCGCCGCCAGCAGCTCACGCGCGAGCGCCACGCGCCACTTGATGGAGTCCCTCGCGCCGAGTTGGTCTGGGTAGCGCTCCGCCAACGCGGTGTTGATAGCAGCGTTCTTCTCCTCATCCTGCATGTACACCTGGTAATCGAGAAGTCGGCGCAGACGCCGCTCATCCTCGGGCGGTTTCAGCTCTGCCTTGAGCCATTTGGACCACGGATTGATTCCGGTACCCGAGTGCGTGCGCTGGTAGTTAAACCATCGTTTAATTTTCTAACTCCGCGTTAGCTTTCACTGCCCCAAAGTGCCGCCAGAGGAAAGCCACTGACCGCTTCCGTATCCGCGACAGTAGTTTTCTTAGCAGCCTTCTGCGCGTCCGTCATCGCGCTCTCCAGCATCCGGTTCGCCAGGTCGTTCTCTGTGGGGTCCTAGTCCAACGGCACCTCCCATGGAAACGCGTCCCAGTACGGCTTGAAGAATTTTGGGTACCATGCGCGCGTCGTGCCCGCTGCTGACGCCGTGCAATACTCATCCAGTGCCGCGAATAGATACTCTGCGCGCAGCCCCACTATGTCGCTGCGATTGCCTCGTTTTTTGGGCGGTGCGTCCTTGTCTTTTTTCCTGGCCATGCCTTTGAACGGGTGAAGCAGGAGCGTGCCACCCAACGCGATAAACAAGCAACTAATCCGACATGTGGTGTTTGCCGATCAGGCTCACTCCCTTGACTCAAGTCGCGACCTGAGTCGCGTCGGTCTTTCAATTGTACACGAAAATGAATACATTCTACAAAGTCAAGTGTAACTACATACATGAAATAGATTTTTTTTAGTCCAATACCAATAGCACTAGTCCAGAGACGAGATATAGAGCAAGATGTATGGTAGCGAGAACGTCCGAGATGTAAAAATCCGAGATATAGCAAGATAGATAGCAGCGAGAAGGTCCAAGAGTGCGACGACAAGATATACCACATACGACAAACAAAACAACGGCGGTTGAGCAGCGACAAGAGATAAAGAGATCAAGAAAAGCCAAAAAAAACGCGCCCACTTAACTCGCCGCGAATCGACGCAGTTTGGTCAAACTCGTCGATGTGCGGACCTCCATGTGCTTCAGCCGATCCATGTTCTGGCAAAGGGCGTCGAACGCGCTGTCCCTGGGGTACGCTCGTCAGCCACAAGAAGATAATGGGTGAAGAAAAATCACGTCAGTGAACATCGTGGTCAAGCCACGCACCGCCCAGAACCGGGTCTGTGACTCCTCGGAGCCGCTCTCCCCGTCCGTGTCATAAAAGAAATCGGTGTTGTACCCGCCGTTCGGGGAGGACTGGACGCGGGTGGGAGCCGATTTCTTGGGTGTTCGCCCAGACGACGACGAAGACGCCTGGGAGGAAGACGACAGGGACGAGGTCGTCGCTCCCACCACGCTCAGCAGCGAGCTCCCCGCCGAGGACGTCGACGAGGCATTGCCGTTGGGGTTCAGTGGGACGCGGGGGCGGGGAGGGGTGGAGGATGTAGCGCTGATATGGTGGTACTGCGGGGGCGGGCGCAGAGGGCTTGGTGAAACGCTTGAGCGCACCACGAGCAGCGACGCCCAGCTGTTGCCTGAGCCGCCCGACTTCGATGCAGGACGCGGTGAAATGGGCAAGATGCGCTAACAGTGAATTGGGGCTAGCTAAGCTAAAGATGCGGGCTAGCTGGAACACTAACACACCACACCTAAAACCTAACACAACACACCAATCCCCTTATGATTATAACACTAAGACTAGCGCGTCTTCCTAGTGAGTTCGGGTTCCGAGCCGTAGTATGCGACTGCTGGCTTGATTCCCGAGTGCACAAGCAATGATTTATGGTCTCAACTATCCCAACAAACAACTCCAATCTCTGAGCTAGCTCAACCGTTTGACCGAAACAAGTCTTCCCAAGGGATGGGATGAACGGGTTGGGGTAAAAAGGGTTTTAACTAGGCGGACGTGGTTTAATACGTCGTCCTAGGCGAGGTGATAAAGCGTCTTCTGAAAACTTCCAGTTACGGACTATGCTGTGCCAGCTATTCTCTTCTCTATGACGATCCCAGATCAACAGATATTTGGGTGCTGACTTAGAACCTTGAATCTAAGTTCTTTTCCTTAACACTTGGGCTTATAATGGACCTAGAGGGTTCACTCAAGCTCCGTTAATCGGCCAATGAATTGACCAAGGAGTTCTAACAAAGTGCTGTGCTGGTCGTGGTCCGTTTTACGGGAGGCGTTTCCTAGTCACCCAATGCGTAGCCCTTGCGAAGTCCACCACGAAGTTAACGACAACTCTCAAACGTTCTCTTTGTGCTCTCGGTCCTGGTTTATATGTGGAGGTCGTCGCCGCTCACAAGCTCCCAACGCGAGTCCTTGCTTATCGGTTCACACAGTTACTTGTGGATCCAACAACACTGATACGATTTCTATAGACTTTACAAACGAAGAAGATACTTTATCTCCGCTAGCTAGGCCTGAGCACACCCTTATCGTCGTAACGATGAGCAGGGCATGAACTGGTCTTTCAGCGGTATTTACATGTCATTTTTATACTAGTTGAGAGAAAGAGATGAGGTAAAGTGAAATGAGTAAAACTGGTCCGTGCAGCTCCGCTACGGCGAGCTAGCCGGCGCTATCTTGCGCTAGGCTTGCCAGACAGTCAGCTAGCTGACCATCTTGGGGGCCTAGGCTGGGGATATTGCCAATTCCGTACAGCTTTACAGCTCCCGGAACCTCTGTATTCGCAAAACAACTCGGAAAAACCATTCCCGCCATTGTCTGCTCACCAATCCTCTCCCAATCTCTGTCTCCGCACGGACTGAACATCTAACCGCTCAGACATTGTGCCATCTCTCCTGAAGTACATCTCTTTGATTTTGTTTGGTGCAGCTAGCTGCCTTCAAACGCGTCGCGTCGATCACCTGATCTATCACTCGGCATATTCTCATGCTGACCGTTTCTCCTAGCCGTCGCTATCGCCAGCTAGCCCGATAAACCCGAAGCTAGCGCCAAGTTATTTATGGAACATGGCCCCTAGCTCATTGCTATCCCGCTAGCTGCACACTAGCTATTCGTATGTCTCTCCTCTTTACGCTAGCTGGTAACTCTCGTTATCCTGTGCTCTCTGGAAGTCGTCTATTGGCGCGCTAGCCCACACTATGAGGTATTAGACCATAGTAATCCTCCTTAATGCGTATACTCCCCTAGTGTAACGCTTGTTCACGCGCCTAGCACTAAGTTTGTACTATGGTCAGCAGCCGGAGCTCACTCTGACCCTCCTTTATATCACCAAACAGAGTCCCAATAAGAATATTGCACCTATTAGAAAGCTAGCTTGTTACAACTCGAAGCCTAGTATGCCTTGCATTTAACTAGCGCTAAAAATCGCAAAATGCAGCTAGATGTCGGTACATTGTTGTTGCGCTGTTTCAGCGGGGTACGCGGGGTGGGCGGGCCAGGAGGCGGTGCGGCGATGACGGGAGCAGAAGGCGCGTGGGCGGCGGGAGCAAGAGGCGCGGGGCCGGCGCAGCCGCGACCGACGGGGACAGGGGCATCCCACCCATCTGGCAGCCGTACGCGTGGAACTGGTCGCAGAACGAAGCCCAGATTTCCTCGACGAGGTGTAGCTGTACCTTTATTGCAATGTACCCGGCCGTGGTCGGGGGGTACATTGCAATATGGGCTCATCACGGTCGCCCGGCCGGGATGTTCCTTATTGCAATGTACCCGCTGCTGCCCCATTTGGATAGCTACAGTACAGTTCCTCAATTTGCGGTATTTTGCCATTATTCTCTGCTTATTTAGCCCAGAATCGACCCTTTTTCTCGCTGGGTCCACGAATAATGTTTCCCTTTCAATATCCTGCATAAAGTAGGTGATGCCGCTGATGCCGTCCCTCTGTTGACACTTATTTATTCTTCATATCTTTGTCTCTTCCCCGATGAACTTCGCCCTACCAGCGTACGCTCATTTGCCCCCCTCTTTTCCTGCTTAATCTAAACACCTAGCGTAGCAATCAGCCGCTCCCCACCGTCCCTGCTGCTCCCGTCGTCCAGCCCGATGACGATGACGCCGCCATCGCCGCCGCCACCGCCGCGCATTGGCGTGAGGTCTACCTCCGTAACCACCACCGCCCTTGCCAGTACGCCGCCCCCGACTCGGCGTTCGCGGCGCGTATGGCTTCTGTACGCGCCGGCACCGACCCCGAGACCTCCGACGTAGGCGATCCTTGCGATGCCTTGTTGTACCCCCACATTGAGGGCGAAACACTCAAATACCTCTGGGCTTGCTCCAACCCTGTGCCCACCATTCAGCCAATGGGCACCGGCTCCCGGCGCGACGTCCTCGATGACGGGTACCTCAAGCAGCGGCAGGCAGCAGAGAAAAAACGAAACTAAGTGCGTTCTCACTCCGTCCTCACCTCCCTCAAAATTTGTACTCATTTCTTGCCCTT